CTCTGATCTTAAGAATGAAAACAGGCCAGGCGTGGTGGCTCAACCTGTAATCCCAGCACTTGGGGAGGCCAAGGCAAAAGGATTGCCTGAGCTCGGGAGGTTTGAGACCAACCTGGGAAACTTGGTGAGACCTTGTCTCTACAATAAATCACACACAAAAAAACTAGCCAGGTGTGGTGACATGCATCTGTAGTTCCAGTGGCTTGGAAGGTTGAGGCTGAAGGATCACCTGAGCCAAGCAGGTCAAGGCTGCAGTGGCCATGAGCGTGCACTGAACTCCAGCCTGGGCGACAAGAGTGAGACTCCAACTCAAAAAAAAAAAAAGCCGGGCTTGGTGGCTCAGCCTGTAATCTGCACCTTTGGGAGGCTGAGGTGAGTGGATTGCCTGAGCCCACGGGTTCGAGACCCGTCTGGGCAACTTGGCAAGACCTCATCTCTACAATAAATCAAAAAATTACCCGGGCGTGGTAGCGCGTGCCTATAATTCCAGGCTACTTGGAAGGCTGAGGCGGAAGGATCACCAGAGCCCAGCAGGTTGAGACTGCGGTGGCCGGGAGCGGCCTGGGCATCCAATCTGGGCGACAGAGTGACACTCCAACTCAAAAAAAAAAAAAAAGAATGAAAATAGAAGAATTGAGATAACAACAATCAAATGCGAAAAAGTAAAATCCACTTCGTTGTGGAATGGAAGGAAAAACATTAGTCTAAGAGTTCAAAAGACTAATGTTTGACCGTGGGCTTGGGTGAGTTATTTAAAATTCTAGACCAGGCTGGGTTCCGTGGCTCAGCCTGTAATCCAGCACTTTGGGAGACTGAGACAAGTGGAATGCCTGAGCCCTTGGGTTCAAGACCAGCCTGGGCAACTTGGCAAAACTTTATCTCTACAATAAATAAATAAAAATTAGTCAGGCTTGGTAGTGCATGCCTGTAGTTCCGGCTACTTGGAAGGCTGAAGTGGAAGGATCGCCAGAGCCCAGCAGGTCAACGTTGGGGTGGCTGTGAGTGTGTCACTGCACTCCAGTCTGAGCAACAGAGTGAGACTCCAACTCAAAACAAACAAACAAAAATTATAGGCCAGGCAGGTACGATGACTCATACCTATAATCCCAATACTTTGGGAGGCCAGGGCAGGAGGATCACTTGAGGCTAGAAGTTCAAGACCAGCCTGGGCAACATAGCAAGTCTTTACATCTGCAAAGTCAAAAAGTTAGCTGATCATGATGGCATGCACCGGTATCCCCAGCTGCTTGTGAGGCTGGGGAAGGAGGATCGCTTAAGCCAGAAGGTTGAGGCTGCAGTGAGCTATGATTGCGCCACTGCACTCCAACTTGGCCAACAGAGAAAGACCCTGTCATAAATAAATAAATAAAATTCTAAAGCCTCAACTTCTCCATTTGAAAGTGAGAGCTATACCTGCTAATCTCTAAATCCTCACTTTAAATACTCCTTGTCTATGCTTCTCTTGAACGGTTCATCATCATGGATGAAAGTGTGAACCTTTGCCATCAGTTGGATTTAAAACTCTTCCTCTCCTCTAATCCTCTGGAAATTCAAGGATTCCAATCGTATTTCCATACAGGCCTCTTACCACATTTACTGAGAGAACATAGACCATTCTCACCAGTTCAACGGTCGATATCCAGAAAAGACTGACTCTTGTCTGCAGAGATATTCAGGGGTTGTGGAATCCCCCCACCCAAGAAATCCACAGACAGACTTCAATCACATGAACAGATCGTTCAATGGGAAAAACAACTAAAAAAGCCCCAAGTTGACAAACAGCAAGGAATTAAGAAGGAACATTGCAGTTCACAAGCTTTGGAGTCATTTTTAAAACACGATCAGAGTGGCTACACGGGTCATGTTTCCCTTACAGTGTGCAGCCTATCTGCTCCCTTCCCCATCAGAAGAATGGGTTGTTGACGAAATCTGAAATGTGTTGGTTCCAAGTGTATCATCTGGGTTGCAGGAGGCTAGGTGCTGCTTGTACCTCTAGCCCCCAAAGCAAGTAACATGCAAGTCATGTAAAATTCATCTTCTCTGATTCTAAGTCATAACGGTCTAAACCAAGCATAATAGGAACTTTTTGCACGGCACCTAAGTTTTTGAGGAAGGAACTGTACAATGGTCTGATAGGTAAGATTTAAGGTTGTCCAGTTGCTGAAGTAAGTTGCTGAGAACAAAGCTTAATGTGTTATTTTTTTAACTGTAATAAAACATGGCCAGGCATGGTGGTTCACATCTGAAATCCCAGCACTTTGAGAGTCTGAAGCAGGAGGATTACTTGAACCCAGGAATTTAAGACCAGCCTGGACAACATTACAAGACCTCATCTATACAAAATAAATCACAAAAATTAGCCAGGCATGGTGGCTGTTGCCTATAGTCTCAGCAACTCGGGAGGCTGAAATGCAAGGATTGCCTGAGCTCAGGAGTTTGAGGTTACAGTGAGCCATGAGCACGGCACTGAACACCAGCAACAGAGTGAGACCCTGACGCAATCAATCAATCAAATTGTAATGAAAGCATACCTCTCTTTAAAACTGCATTACTAAGCTGAGGATGCCATCACTAAATAACAGAATACTGGTGACTTTAGAGCCCGTGTCACCTTCTTTGTGTGCTCTCAGTTAACTCATCTTTAAAAGTGAAAGTCTCATACTGAGTAATTTATTCAAGATCTACAAATCCTCATACAGAAGTTGCCTCTAAATGCCGAGAATCACTCTCACTTCAGTGCCCAGCCCGGGAAAGGCGTGTCCCCCCACCTTGCCCTGCCCCCCGCCACTGTGGTTGCCTTGGGTTTCCCCTTTTGCCAGACAGACCATGGAACCTCAGGGAGGAGACAGAGACTCTCAGTCTCAAGGCTGCTGGACTCCAGTCACTGACCAAATGGCAGCCTAACTTGACCTTTGGATGAATGCCCAGCCCACTCCCTACACTCTCAGCCTGGACTTCGGGTTTTTAAAATAACTACTGGCACAAGGAATTCCTAAGATCATAATCTAGGGAGGTAAAGCAGATCCAGAATTCTACCTGCATAGATTCATTTTATTAGATTGAATGAGACTTTTTTTTTTTTTGAGTTGGAGTCTCACTCCGTCGCCCAGACTGGAGTGCAGTGGCCGCTCCCAGCCACCGCAGCCTCCAGCGATCCTTCTGCCTCAGCCTTCCAAGTAGCTGGAATTACAGGCATGCGCTACCACACCCGGTTGATTTTTTAATTTATTGTAGAGATGAGGTCTCGTTGCCCAGGCGGGTCTCGAACCCGCAGGCTCAGGCAATCCACTCACCTCAGCCTCCCAAAGGTGAAGGATTACAGGCTGAGCCACCAAGCCCGGCTGAATGAGACTTTTAAAAACAGATGTTTTTGTTGGTCAAGAGCAATGAACTATTGGAATTTCATAAGACTCGAGCTCTACTTAGGAATCCTTCAGTTCTGGGTTCTCTGTCTTCTCAATTCTGAATTTCACCTATTCCTGCTCTTTCTCTCCAGCATCTCAGAATGTGCCTTCAAAAGCCACCATCTGTCCTGAAGCCTCTTGAGTCCCCACTATGTTCCTCCAGCAAACTCAACATCCATTCCACAAATATTCACCAAGCACCTTCTCTGAGCAGGGACTGCTGTAGGTACAAGGGCAGATGTAAGTCATCTCAGCCTTGGGGGAGTTCAGAGTCTAGTAAGAAATGGTAACTCTTAAAACATTCATCATCAGGTTGGTGATAGAAATATGTGCAAAGTGTAGGCCGGGCTCGGTGGCTCAGCCTGTAATCCCAGCACTGTAGGAGGCCGAGGCAAGTGGATTGCCTGAGTCTGTGGGTTCGAGACCAGCCCGGGCAATTTGGCGAGATCTCGTCTCTTCAATAAATAAAAACTTAGCCAGGTGTGGTAGCGTGCACCCGTAGTTCCACCTGGAAGGCTGAGGCAGAAGGATCACCAGCACCCAGCAGATTGACACTGGGGTGGCCGTGAGTGTGCCACTGCACTCCAGCCTGGGAGACAGAGTGAGACTCCAACTCAAAAAAAAAGAAATGTGTGCAAAGTGTTAAAGTGAATCAATGGCATCATGTTTAGAGGAATGAATGAGGAAGAAGAGTTTCAAAGAAGAGTTGACATTTGGATGAGCAAACCAAGGTGGGGAAAGTTTCTCAGGTAAGCACGATGCTGATCATAGGGTCTAGGGCACAAAGATCACGAAAAGTTCTGGAAATGGCCAGTCACTCGCTAGGGTTCATAAGAGGAGATTGGAGTCAGACCTGAAAGGAACATGACATCTTCTTCCTTTGTCATGTAGATAAGCCAAACATTTTTTTTCTAACCAGGAGAGCAACACGATGCTTGTTTTTGAACTATAATTTTGCAAAATTCAGGAGTGCTTGCTTTCTTCCTGTGACCTGTAAGACTAGAAGGGAAGAATTAAGTAAAATGATTAGGATGTGTAGGCATCAAAAATGACCTTTATTGTTTTTTTCTATTTACAAAAGAAATACAGATTCATTTTAAACAATTCAAACATTATAGAAATCCACAACAGAAATCAAATGCCTAACCCTAACCCTAACCCTAACCCAAACCCAAACCACTGTTACTACATGTTATAGATTTCTTTAAACTTATATTTCCCCGTGTAAACCTAACATATTACATAATTTTCCCATACCAGTAAATATAGAGCTACCTCATTCTTTTTAATGGCTATGTATTATGGCATTGTATCAATGTACTAAAATTAGTGAATCAGTCTCTATTTTGTGGACATTTGAAATGTTTTCCATTTTTCATGATTATAAGCAATGCTGGGATAAACAGTCCTTTACATAAACCTTTTCAAACTTGTCCAGGTGTTTCTGTAGGATACATTCTTAGAAATCTTTCCAGGAGCTGACACGAAAGAAATCGCAATTTAATAGATTTTGCCAAATCACCATTATAGAGGTTGTATTAATTTATATTCCAATAGTGTGCGTGGTCCCAATTTCCTTTCCTTAGGGGCGTGGGATTTTATAGGCAGTCTGTCTTCATCAGAGAGACTGCAGAACCTCAATCCTCTTCCGTCAGCTCTGTGAATGTCTGCAGCTCACATGTTTCTCTGGTGTCTGATATATTAACATTAATAGCAGCTCGAAGATTTGCCCAAAAAAGCCCACATTTATGCCTCTCCTTGGGCCACTCCATGTATGATTTCCTTTCCATGAGCGCTTTCAACCTATGATACCCGGGAGGGATGCAATACAATGGAATGGGTTCCAGTAAGATAAGAATTATATGATTAGAATTTTCATGGAAGAGGTTGTGGTGGGAAAAGTAAAGTTCATAGTGGCACCACTCACTCTGGACAAAGTTGGGAGACAGAACAAAGATGGACTTATAGCTCTTCTCAATGAAACGGATGATATTTTCACTAATGCTCTTGCCATGGTCAAAGTTTCTCTCATGAAGGCAAATCAAGACAGAATCGTCTTCTTTCTCTAGATTGGGGAGCAATTCATTCTTCACCCAGGAAGAATCGTGTTCACTGTATGAAATGAATGCGTGGAATTCGACATTTCTCTTGAGTTGTGCTTGGGTTGTTTTCCTAACCCTGTGCTGTGTTCGTGCCCATTGGCCTAGCATCCTGAGATACCAGGGCAGATCAAAGTGGAGGCAGCAGAAGGCCACAGCCACCCCCGGGACTAGCATGATCACCACGATGGTGACAATCAACAGAGCTGTGTTGCAAGATAATTCAGAAAGATGAATATCCTTTAACCGCATTCCCTTTAGATTTAATGGGTATTCACAGATGTATGAATCTGACCATCCGACCATCATGCCTTGTGAATATTTTTCAAGCTGAATAAAATGTCTTAATTCACAGGTACACCGGAAAGGATTTTTTCCAGCATTTAGAGTCTTAACTTCCTGGCAACTCTGAGAAAAATCCAGAGATGGGCTGAGAATCAAGTTCATTTCAATGTTCAGAACTGAGAGTCTACTGAAATGACTGCACCCAGGGAGATCAGCTAGAAAATTAGATGCAATATTTAGCTCTTGTAAGGACTTCAGATGAGTAGTCTCTTTAGGGACAGTTTGAATTTGGTTATTATTCAAGTCAAGTATTTGAATATTTCTGGGCAAGCACTTGAAAACAGAATCAGCAAATTTATTGGATGACAGGTTCATGGTGATCAAGGTTTCTGGCCAGGAGCAATTGTTATCATTTTTATGTTGTAGTAGGTTTTGGCTCAGATCCAAGTGCTTCAAGGATGTTCTGTTAGCAAAGCAACTCACTAAAGAAAGTGTCTCCAGTTTATTGTCCTTCAAAATGAGAGTTTTCAAATGAGGCAATTGGATAGTATTTTTAAACAGCTCATCTGTTAAGATGTTATTGGCAAAATTTAAATATCGGAAGCTCATAGGATAATTAGGGAAAAGCATGTGTGGCATTTGTGCATCTGATATTGTCAGGTTTTCTATATTCATTTTGGTAAAAAGCAAGTAGATTTTGTCCTGTGGAATGTAAAAAATTCTGAAATGTACATGCTCCAAATTTATAGTTCTCATTACAGTATTTGAGTAGTCAAATGTACTGTGGTCAAGATACACCTTACCTCCAAAAGTCACATTTTGGATCAGGAAGTATTCCACTGACGTATGCCAGACAAATTGGAAGATAAGGAGAAGGTCATCCCAGAGTAAATCAACCTTATTAAGTAAGAGGATAGATGTCCTGGCATTCTCTAAAATAAGATTTTGCTGAGTTTCATAGCTTACAAATTGACTTTTGCTGTCTATATTTGTCATTTCTAATATTTCTGAAGTCTTGAGTCCATCACGCAAAAGGACCCAGAAATTTATGTTTATTGGTAAAACAATGTGAAGTTTTGTTGTATTTAAGATGGGCAGGCTACCTTCCTCATAATGAGAAAGGATTCTCAATCCCAAGAAGACAGTACTTAGATGCAAGTGGGCAATTTTCTGGAAATCTGATTTTTGTATTTTTGCCCCACTCAAGCCTAGGAATTCCAGGTGTGACATGCTGCCAATTTCCTCACAGATAGGCATGGTGTCAAAGACATTAAAAGAAAGATCTAAATGTCTGAGGTTTGCCAGTGAATACCAAGTTACAGTCTTCAGTCTGTTATGAGACACATCTAAATATCTCAGCTCCTTGTTGAACTCAAAGGTCTTGATATTCAGCTGTTGAATTCTGTTATGGCATAAAATCAAAACTTTCAGTTTAGAGACAGAATGAAAATCTGAGCTGTGGAGTTGAAAGAGGAGGTTATAGGATAAATCCAGTGTAGTTGTAGTTGGGGTCAAGTCTGCAGGAACGTTTCTTAGAGACATGTTGGAGCAGTTGGTAGTCAATTCCCTTTCTTCTGGCAGTTTTGAAGACCAGCCGTTTACTGATATAACAAGACTACAAAATATATTGATGCTTCTGATAAGTCTCATTGTATTTCCAAAGATTTTATCACTGGTTTCTTCATATGAATGATGAAGTCCTTGAATGATAGCATATAATGTTAAGTTTTCATTTGGTTTGTTAAATTCCGTACAATATTTATTTTTTTAAAAATGCCAGCTGGGTGCAGTGGTTCACATCCATAATCCCAGCACTTTGGAAAGCTGAGGTGGGAGGATTGCTTGAGACCAAGAGTTCAAGACCAGCCTGGCCAACATGGCAAGACCCCATCTCTAAAAAAAAAAAATTAGCCAAGCAAGATTGTGGATACCTGTAGTCCCAGCTACTCAGGAGGCTGAAGTGGGAGAATTGCTTGAGCCCAGGAATTTGAGGTTACAGGGAGGTATGATCGTGCCACTGCACTCCAGCCTGGGCAACAGAGCAAGACCTTGTCTCAAATAAAAAATAAATAATAAATAAATAAATAGCATCTGATTATATTCACCAGAGGTTGGATAGGGTCCCAGCCTGTATGTGGAATGTTTGACTTGAACTCAGAGCACCGTTGAGGGATCTCCAAGTCAGTTACTATGTCATGTCTCCATCACTGAGATAAGTCAGGATTCTTGGAGAGGAGACATCCATCGACTGGCAGACGTACCTCTTTCCCCTTTCAATTTAGGAACTGCATTGTCAGGTCAGACTCAACACCCTCCCTTATGCACTCCCCTTTTTTTAGAAAGCAGGATTTATTGAGAGGACAGAAAAGCTCTCACAGTGGGAGGGGACCCCAGGGGGTCACCCTATACCTCCTTTGACAGCCCAAAGATTTTAAGAAAATTGAAATAATTTTGATCATCAAATATGGTGGGCTCTTGAATTCATATTATGGAGTTATTCCTCAACTTTTGTGTCTGTAGACAATAGAGAGTCCCAAGTTAGACCCAAGATCTAACTTTCAATAATACTTATCCACACACGGAAGATCTGAAACACAGAAACAAACAGAATGACCCCCATCCTTATGCCTCTGTGTTGTCTTCAGGTTGGTGGCAAATGCAATCCAGATCACTGCCAAGTAATGGTAATAATGCTAAAAAACAACTTCCATTTCTTGGGAACTTTCTATGTGCCAGTGCTCCATATATATTATTTCATTGAGTTATCACAATACTCTGTGAGGGAAGTACATTTGACAGATGAGGAAATTCAGATGGAGAAATCTGGGGACCTTCAGAGAAAAGTCAGGCTTCACGTTGTTTGATTAAACACTAAGATTTTCATAATATTCTTTATTCAAGATATTTATGAAGTACCTATTCTGCTAGAAACTTTTCTAGGCACTGTAGAAATAGCAGTGAACAGAACAGAAGATTTCTGTTTCTACACAGCTTATATTCTAGTGAGAGGGTAAGAAAAGCAGGACTGCAAACAAAATGAAAAATTAATATGTTTTTTGGTGATGAGGTGGTGGTGATGGCTTGAAGGAAAAATAATTAAGGTAAGGGAAACAGAGAAAGACTGGGAGTGATTTTTTTTTTTTTTTTAAGACAGGGTCTCACTCTGTAGCCCAGACTGGAGTGCAATGGCATAATCATGTCTCATCACAGCCTCAAAATCCTGGGCTGCAGTGATCCTCCTATCTCAGCCTCCCAAGTAACTGGGACTAAGGTGCACACCACCATGCCTGGCTAATTTTTGTGTGTGTGTTTTTTTTTTTTTTTTGTAGAGATAGGGGTCTCATTATGTTGCCCAGACAGGTCTCCAACTCTTGGCCTCAAGAAATCCTTCTGCCTTGGCCTACTGAGTGATTGGAACTACAGGCACACACCACCATGCCTGGCTTTTATATTTTTTGTAGAGACAGGGTCTCACTACTGCCTACTCTGGTCTTAAACTCCTGGTCTTAAGTGATCTTCCCACCTTTGCCTCTCAAAGTGCTGGGATTATATGCATAAACCAATATGCCTAGTCAGAAGTTTTTTTTTTTTAGATATAGGGTGGGCAAAAGGTCTCTCTGATATGGTATCTTTCAGGCAGAGATCTAAAGGAAGTGAGAGAGCAAAATACTGAAAAAAGAGTATTTTGAATAGAAATCAGTGAGTACAAATTCAAAGATTCTGATGTGGGAACATGCTTGGAAAATGTGAGGAATGACTGGAGTTGGGGGAGGTGAACAAGAGAAGAGATCAGCTCTTGTAAGACTTTGAAAATTTCCCTTCAACGAAAATAAAAAACCAGCAGAGGAAGTGGCAAGTTCTCGTGCATATTTTACAGATTTCTCTACTAGTTGGATGGAAATGACTGGAAGGTGCAAGCTGGTAAGGAAAACTCTTTGGGACACTCTAGAGGAACTGACACCAGGGAGAAGGTAGTGGTGGATGTAGAGAGAAGTGGCTATGTTCTAATATCAAATTAGTCAACTGTTCAACTCTATGTTTTCCCACATCAGGAACTATGAACGCACCACAGGAAGGTAACAACTTAGCAGTGGTCAGAGTTTCCTTGCTTCCATTTACAAGTGTCTACTCCACACTGACCTTCAGGCTCCTACAAACCGGTTGTTCCCATTGACTGGAGAGAACAAAAGCCATACTCAATGGGAAGACCACGGTGCAGAGAGACTTCTCTGTACTTTTCCTGTTGTCCCATCATTCTAAGAGGTTGTGTGTGTGTGTGTGTGTGTGTTGTGTGTGTGTGTTGTGTGTGTGTGTGCATGCGCATATATATGCATGTAAAAGTGAATGAATAATTTCAGTGTTTTATCTCCTAGCACAATACGGTGCATTATATGTTCTCAGAAATATGTGTCAAATAAATGAATTTATGTTGTGAATTCCTGATGGTTAAAGAATGAGTCTGGTGTTAGGAAAATCAGTAGCACTAACATACACCAATAGCGACCAAGCTGAGTATCAAATCAAGAACTCAATTCCAATAATGAATTAGTAAACAAAACAGCATGCTGCTGGTACAAGATCAGACACATGGACCAATGGAACAAAATAGAGAATCCAGGAATATATCCAAATATCTACAACCAATGATCTTTGACAAAGCAGACAAAAACATACACTGGGGAAAGGACACCTATTCCAATGATGTGAGGAGACATGGACAACTACATGCAGAAAAATGAAACTTGATGCCTCTATTTCCCCATGTACAAAAATTAACTCAGGATGGACTAAAGAATTAGATGTCAGACCTGAAGCCATAAAAATCCAAGAAGAAAAACTCTTCTGGACATCAGCCTAGGTAAAGAATTTATGGCTAAAACCCCAAGAGCAAATGCCACAAAAACAAAAATAAACAAGTGGGACTTAATTAAACTAAAAATCTTCTGCATAGCAAAGAAATAATCAACAGAACAAATATGAAACCTACAGAATGGGAGAAAATATCTACAAACTGTACATCTGACAAAGGACTGATATGAAGAATCCAGAGAGAACACAAACAAATCAGCAAGAAAGAAAGCAAATTACCCCATTTAAAAGTAGGTAAATGACATGAACAGACATCTCTCAAAAGAAGATATACAAATGGACAGCAAACGTATGAAAAAATGCTCAGCATCACTAATAATCACAGTAATTCAAATTGAGACCACAATGAGATACACTCTCATACCAGTCAGAATGGCCATTATTAAAACATCAAAAAATAATAGATGCTGGCACAGATGCAGTGAAATGGGAATGCTTATACACTGTTGGTGGGAATGTAAATTACTACAACCTCTAAGGAAATTGGCATGGAGATTTCTCAAAGAACTAAACGTAGATCTACCATTTGATCCAGAAATTCCACTACTAGGTAACAATCAAAAGGAACAGAGATCATTATGGAAAAAGACGCCTGTGTTTGCATGTTCAATGCAGCACAATTCACAATTGCAAAGATGTGAAATCATCCTAAATGCCCATCAACTGATCAGTGGATAGTGAAAATGTGGTATATTTACACTGTGGAGTACAATTCAGCCATCCAAAAGAATAAAATAATGTCTTTTGCAGCAACTTGTATGGAATTGGAGAACATCATCCTAGGTGAATGAACAGGACCAGAAAACCCAACACTACATATTCTTAATAAGTGGGAGCTAAACTAAGGAGCTACAAAGGCACAGAGAATGGTGTCATGGACACTGGAGACTCAGAAAGGGGAGAGGGGAGGGGTAGAGAGACAAAAAATCACCTATGGGTACAATGTGCACAGGTAAGGGTGGTGGGTACACTCAGTCCAAACTTCTTTGCCACTATACGGTGCAACCATGTAACTAGAAACAATTTGTACATTCTAAAGCTATTGAAATAAAGAAAAATTTTAAAAGAAACACAAAATTTTAAAAAAAGAATGAGTTTGATGCTAGTGATTGATAAATCTGTGTTCAAGTCCAATCTTAATCATTCATTGGCAAGTGTAACTGGGACCATTTGCTTAACCTCTGAAAGGTTCATTTTTCTCATCTGTAAAATGGGGCTTGTGAGTGAGCATAAAATAGATAACATAAATAAATCATGTATTACCATGCCTAGCATATCACACTTAATGGTAGCCATTATCAGGGCCAAGACCAGGGTGAGGTTAAGTAAGCTTTAAAGTAAGGAGTAAATTTTAAAGGAGTGCCAGGGAACTCAGTAATCAAGATAAATGTTTATGCGAAATGTTTTTAAAAATCAAAATTAAAGTAAAAATCCATGTTAAGCAAAATATGGAAATATTTCATGAAGACAAGATCAGTATTACTGTTTTTTTTTTTCTTTTGCCTTAGGCTCTCTTATGACTTGGCAGGAACCTAGCTGTTATAATCATTAAGTTGACAAAGATACTGTTAATGTCATCATCCTACAAATTGTTTTAGTTTATAGCAACTGACTTTAAGCTTCTAGGTCTGAGAGCTGTGGGTCCTTGAAAAATGCAGCATACAGCCGGGCGTGGTAGCGCACACCTGTAATTCCGGCTACTTGGAAGGCTGAGGCGGAAGGATCACTGGAGCCCAGCAGGTCGAGGCTGCGGTGGCCGGGAGCGGCCACTGCACTCCAGTCTGGGTGGCCGAGTGAGACTCCAACTCAAAAAAAAAAAAGAAAAAGAA